GTACGTCTAACGCCTCTTTAAAGTGTCTCAGAAACACGTGTCTTTATAACCGTCATCCTCCGTATCACTCTCTGCTCTCACTATCTGTGACATATCCAAGACTGTGATAACAAAGAAAAAGAAGCCACTCCCCAGATATGTATTATATGAAAAACAGTGATTTAATTTATTCAAAATGGCATTTAAAGGGTTTAAATCCTGAAAATGATTAAATATTTGATATTTTTCATTAGGACTGAAGTTGTTATTGAATATAATGTTTTTATCAAAGTTTTTGGAATGACTAATTAGGGAGTCGATTTGATCTTATTTTCTCAGAGTGAATCCTCCGCTCTGTTAGTGCGCCCTCTCGTGCTCACACTGACTGAGGGCCTCATTTCCTGTTTGTAAAATATGTTGTTAGAGATCCAGCTACTATATACTGATGTTAAAACCCAAACACGTCCTTTTGTGACTGAATTCATCCAAATCAACCCCAAAACTTCAAAGTAAATTCATTAAAGCTTCATTTTATGAATAACCAGTTTTCCCAAAAGCATCAATTGTACTCTTAATTAATAATAATAATAATAATAATAACAATTGGCTTCACGTGTTGAAATGTAACCTCTTTAATTAGAGTTTTCGTGCTTAAATGCACCTGAATCCATTATTTTCTAACAAAACCATTCATCTGTTGTTCTGATTACTTAACCAAGAGGGTCGTACTCTTATTTAAACGTTTAAAAAGCTCTGTTTCTTTGGTTGGTTTGGTCTAAAAGCTCTATTTTACTATCAAAACAGTTTATTTATTTTCTGTTAATGGACGGACGGTGCAGTTAATGTTAGGAGGAAAAATCTCCTTTTTTCTTCCAGAGTTTCTTCACTTAATGCATGAAATGTTGTTTTTTTAAAGCCGTGTGTTGTGTTTGTGCTGCAGGGATACGACCACAGCTACTTCTTCATCTACTCCTTCATGAGCGATCACATCAAACATCACGCAAAGTTCCTGAACGCCTGAACGCACCACGGGACAGGAAGCTCAGGCCGGACTTCCTGCACGATTCAGTTCAATAAAATCACTTCTGGTTTCTAAATCATTTAATGAAGTCACTTCTTTAAGTTTGAGCAGCACTTACCTGAGGGTTTAAATAACAGGAGTATTAGTTTGGGATCATGGAGCCACAGGAAATGTTTGCTGAGACCTGATTGGATGTTGCAGCGACTCAGCGGAGATTCTCTAAATAAAATCCTCAGAAAATCTTTTAGTTGTTTTGTTTGTGATTGAAGTTTAATCTGTGAAAACATTATGCCGTCCCTTTTTATAGGAGCCACCAAATGAACAGAAATAATATATACAAATTCATGCTTTAGTATGTTAGTTAAAAAGTCATATTATAGTATTTACATTTATTGTGATAAAATGTCATAGTGTAGCTAGTCCAACAAATGAGTCCATGAAAAGGTCATCGGATATGTTTGGAACAAAATCCTAAAAGTGTAAGAGTCTACAAAAAAATCATTAAAAAACATTATAGTATGTTAAAAAAATTGATAAAAAGACACAGTACAGTATATCACAAATAGAATACACATAGTATCGTTTTTTTATATATATATAATAAAAAAGGTAAAAAGGAAACCAAGGGCTGGACCTAAAGGAGAGACACTGATAGGCTGCTGAAGAGCCTATCAGGGACAGGCAGGCTGCTGAAGAGCCTATCAGGGACAGGCAGCTGAAGAGCCTATCAGGGACAGGCAGGCTGCTGAAGAGCCTATCAGGGACAGGCAGCTGAAGAGCCTATCAGGGACAGGCAGCTGAAGAGCCTATCAGGGACAGGCAGGCTGCTGAAGAGCCTATCAGGGACAGGCAGGCTGCTGAAGAGCCTATCAGGGACAGGCAGGCTGCTGAAGAGCCTATCAGGGACAGGCAGCTGAAGAGCCTATCAGGGACAGGCAGGCTGCTGAAGAGCCTATCAGGGACAGGCAGCTGAAGAGCCTATCAGGGACAGGCAGCTGAAGAGCCTATCAGGGACAGGCAGGCTGCTGAAGAGCCTATCAGGGACAGGGAGGCTGCTGGAGAGCCTATCAGGGACAGGGAGGCTGCTGAAGAGCCTATCAGGGACAGGCAGCTGAAGAGCCTATCAGGGACAGGCATGCTGCTGAAGAGCCTATCAGGGACAGGGAGGACGGGCCATTTGGTGCCCAGTGTGATTCATTCAGCGCCATCAGAGACATCAGTGGCTACTGTATATCCCCGAAACACCAGCCCACAATACAAACATGTAAAATAATTATGCAACATTAGAAGTTATGAATTTGATGAACAATAGTCTAGTCCATGTAGTAAAGATAGAGTTCGACATTTAAGTAAACACACACATTTTCTTATTTGTTGGCAAAAGTTTCCCACATTGTGATCAATAAAGTACTTCTTATCTTATCTTAAGAGTTAGTTAAGAAAATCCTAATCGCTCTCTGATAAATCTGATCTGATAAATATGAGGCTACTAGGGCACCGGTAAAGGCAACTTGCATCTAGTTGATTAATATAATATATAACAGTATTAAATATGCATAGTGACACCCTTGAAGCTCAGTAATCATCATAACCCAACAGGTCCAGTTTAAATAATGTCCTAGTGTCTAATCCAAATTAACAATGTCTTACCCTTAGAAAGACAATGTGTGACCACAAGTGACACATGTAAGATTTTAACTAACAGATTTATCATAGATATCTTATCAGGCTGACACTTGGGTTCTTCCGGGTCCTTTCACTCCGTTAGGAACAGTGGCGTAACTATCGACGGTGCAGCTGGTGCAACGCACCGGGGCCCAGAGCCGGCAAGGGGCCCATGCAAAAGATTTTATTTTATATATATTTCTTTTAAAAAATGTTTTTTAAATATTTCTTTTTGGGGCCCCAATGGCATTGACCGGTTCACGCAGTCTTCAAAGTAACCAAGCAACCTAAATTAATTCGTAATTTCTCTGTCCAATGACCTTTCATGTCATGTGATACCTTGCGTGACGAGCGAACCGTTTTAATCAACCTGTACTGTACTGTAGCTAGCAGCAGCAAGTTCGGTAGCATTATAAAAAATGTAATAGCTTGCATTTATAATGTACAGCAAACCAAAGCACAAGAGCAGCGCTCGAATGAAGGCTGTACAATGTGATTACATGTTACTTGTTAGACGCTTTTATCCAAAGCGACTTACATACATTCAGTACTGTGGACAATCCCCACAGGAGCAATTTGGGGTGAAGTGTCTTCAGGGACACAACGACATGCTGACTGCAGTGGGACTCGAACTTGCTATCACCTGATTCGAAGTCCAGCACACTATCCACTGAGCCACAGCCTCCCAATGTGATGACGTTGCCCCGATCACGTCGGAGCCTCTGAATCCCAGAAAAGGACATAGTGATACCAGCGAAAAGCCTAGAATCGCCGCTTTACCTCACTTTTTAAATCAGATGGATAGGATTAGCAATTAAAAAGTTATTAAGCATTTTAGAACGCTACCTCTTTGAAGCCGCGGGCGGCTCGCTCGGTCTTTAAGGGTTAAAGAGGGTTATATCTCACAGGCTCCGCCCTCTACTGGACTCTATGGGTACTGCCCTTGACCTTACTATGCGAGCGTTCACCTACTGAGATATCTTTAAACGTAGCCGGCCCTCGGGGCGGGCCTACCTAAGTGCGGGCGCAAGCCCACCCTATATAAGGCGGCCTCGCCTCCTGACTGTCATCCTTTTCAATTCAGCGAGCAGGATAAACAACTGAGAGAGCGAAAGAGAGAGAAGAAGATCGAGAAGAATGGAAAACTCATCAGTCCTCGAGCACCGACCCTGTCCTACGTGCACCGGCCTAAGCGCAGGTGCCGATTGTTAAGGAATAATTCTTCTAGATATCTAACCTTTTACTCTGACATGTGTTATCTCCTTTAAGGAAAGACCTTGGTGCCATATGTGTTGTTGTCACCAGTGTGTGACCGGTCAACTTGTCTGGCACGAAGGGTAATTGTTGTGAGAACACTGAGGCACTTCTTTATCGGTGTTTGTGGGCTCTAGGATGTGAAATCCTTGAGGCCATGAGCGTCGGACGCAGATGATTCAGTGTTTAGTCTACTCCTTCAGAGATGTTGATTTCTCTCTGTGAACCTGTTAAAAGGTCTAGCATAGAGAGAGGTTCTTCAGAATTGACGTGGCAACTCTACCGTGTGGTCAGAACCTCTGACTCTTTGATTTGTGATGTGAATCCTCCGGCCGAATACTCTGAATAAACCCATCAGTGTTTGACATCAAAGCTCCAACTCTCACCGTGTCTCCTTCCTGAGTCGGTGACTCCATGCATTACTACACAGAAGTTTCCTCCACACCGATCCCCACCGCCTGTGTTTCGAGTGTCTGGGGCCTGAACACGCCGGGGACGGCTTGCAGTCTCCCTCCTGTAATGCCTGCCGGATGCTACCACAACTTAGCCGCCGGCACCGCATGGAGCATTTTCAGGCCTACTATGTGTCGCCGGAGGAAACGGAGGACCACGTGGACTTCGAAGTGGTGGTGATGGAGGAACAGGATGCGGCTGGAGGGGTGCCATTCGCTTTCGCCATCCCGGCGGGCCGGCCGGCCCCGTTCGTCGAGGAGGAAGACGACGAGGGTTCCTCGATGTCGGGTGCTTCCGGTTCCGGTGCCCAGGACGGGCCGCCACACAGGTCCGCACGTCAGGACTTTCCATCGGTGATGGCCATCGGGGCGGAGCGTGTAGGGTTACCACTCCCCCCACCACTACCGCCAAAGCCGGTGAGCCGCCTCCGTCAGGGGTTTTACGGCCCAGCTTCCCCAGCGCAGCCGGCCTTCGTTTGGCCCCGGTTGCCAGACATCTGGCAGTGTGTGGAGGCGACGTGGCGACAGCCACTGAGAACGAGGGCTCCAGTGGCAGGTATGACAGGTATCTTGAGGGTGCAGGGCCGCTCGGACACGGTGTGTCACGGCGTGCCCCCCCTTGATGAGAGCTTGGCGGCCCATCTGCTTCCGCAGGCAGCTGGATAAGCGGAGGGGAAAAAGCCTCCGAGAAATGCTGGATTATTTGGACAGAATATTCCGGCTCGGTACACAGATGGCAGCAGCGGCCAATCATCTCGGTGTGTTGGGCATGTCTCTGATTTCCCCTCAGCAGGCCGCCCCGACCCCTTGCCTCAGGACGGGAGTGATTATTCGGACCGCTGTATAGGCCAGATGAACAATCTGGTCCACGGTGTAGCTGCCGCAGCTGGCCGTGTGATGTCCCTGGCCACAGTGGCGTCACGTGTGGCTGGGACTCACTGCGCTGTCCAGGAAGGACCGCGAGGATCTCCTGGGGGCCCCCGTATCCACGGAGGGGCTCTTTGGGTCGTGCTTGCTGGGGCAACACAGGAATGGTGAGGGGGGGGGGGGGGGGGGGGGGGGAGGCGGGCTGTGGGTCAGATACCTACTGACCCACAGCCCGCCTCCCCCACCCCCTGGACTTAATGCAATTATGGTTTCCCATGCTCCTTAGGGACCGGGGAAACATGGTGCGCAGTGAGCCCCATACAGGGCGGAAGGATTCTCCCCGCCTGCCTATGGCGGGGGGGGAGCCTTCCTCACTATTTTCCATGCACACTCTTCACGAGGTAAGCGTGTCTGAGTGTGCTCTATCAGCCAAGTAAACTGCGGGCCCGACTCCTCCACGGTCATGGCCGAGGGAGGAGAGGTTGCGGTGCAGTGGCTGCTAACCAAAAAGCCTGTCAGGGGCAGTGTGATGGTTTGATGGACGACAGGGCGTGTATCCATCAGGGCTCCACCCACTGTACCCATAGAGTCCAGTAGAGGGCGGAGCCTGTGAGATATAACGATGGGTTACGTATTGTATAAGCAATAAGTTATATAAGCACAGGCGGAGCCCTCTACTAGGGGCCCTGTCTGTCCGATGCTGCTCGCTGAAGAGAGGTGTAGGATGACAGTCAGGAGGCGAGGCCGCCTTATATAGGGTGGGCTTGCACGCTAGCCACGGCTATGTTTAAAGATATCTCAGTAGGTGAACGCTCGCATAGTAAGGTCAAGGGGTAGTACCCATAGAGTCCAGTAGAGGGCTCCGCCTGTGCTTACCTACACAGGGGTACAATACGTAACCCATCGTTTCATCCCTCCGAATCTATGTATCTATTCTTCTATTCTATCTTTATATAAAATAAACGTAAATGCAAAGATGAGGATATGTAAACGCAGGGCAGATGAATAGATTAAATGAAACTCGAAAAATACAAATACAAATATTGTAAAATGAAGGAGGAGCAAAACATTCTGTGATTTAGTTACACAATTTGATGCAGACATTTTTGATTGGAATTGAAATGTTTTATTAATCACTGCGATCTTCATCCGTTCACTATAAGGCAAGCAGGTTCATGTTGCTTAAAGGTTTTGGTATGATTGTGTCTGATATCATATTTGCATTGTTACACATTAACATAGTAAGGTAAGGTCACCTGAGGCTCATTGGGTTTATTTGTTACTAGTTCAAGTGTAGGTTGACTTGACCTGGTGATGCATAAAGTGAAATAATACATGATTTATGGTAAATCAATAATCGGTTTGGCCATGACACAAACCAGCCAAGGTGAACACCTCAGGTCACACAACAACTCTGTTAAGGCAGTGTTATATGAACAGATCAAGAAGTTAGAGAGAGGGTTGCTCGTGCCTAGTACTTCAAACACATCATCTTTGATTAGACTCTGTCTATGAAATAATTAATCTATTAAGAGGAGTTAAAGAATGTTTGTTTGTGTTTCTGCTGCCACAAACCTCATTAACCAAACAATGTGTGGTGAATAAGAAATGGCTTATTCATTTCTGAGAATCATGGTAAACTGCAGGAGGCAATGTTAAAGTAATCCCATTTAATCCCATGCAAATGTACATTTGACATCTTTCATGTTGTCTTTGTAAACAGCGTCAAAGTGCGCTGCTTCTGCCGGGGTTAGCTGGTTTTTCCAGTCTCCAGCTATTCCTGAAACACAACATGGGAAGAAAAAGGAAATCCTTATTCAGTTGGAGAAATATGTGCACCTTTCTATCTTATTTTGAATAGACACATTTGTTCTTGCTATTTAGAAATACAGTATGTCAGTTTCTATGTGAGGATTCCCTGATGGTCCTGATACCATCCACCAAACAGGACTCAGCACCAATGAATGCCCTTCCCCCAAAGACATGCTATGACTAGATAGTACAATATTAGTGAGAAAATAAAACAATAAAGCCCAGCAAACTCTCCATAAACACCATTATGTATTTCATGAACAGATCATTTCAGGATGTATTGCGCAACGGAAATACATCAGTGTATCCTCGGTTATAGCTCCTCCAGATTCAAATAAACCTTTTGTACTGTATGTATTATTTAATGACACTCACCTTTCCTGAGAAACTCAGACTTTGTCTGGTCCAGTAATTCACGAGGAACAATAGAGTGGTTTGACATGTTGTTCTTCTTCATGTTCTTGAACAAACATCGGTCGGCTATCTTCTCTATCGCTTCATCGTCCAGAGATTTCTGCAGGAACTGAGCCATGTTGCACACAGAGCCCTTCAGATCCTGCAGACACACACAGATCAGCTCATAGTCCTGCAGACACACACAGATCAGCTCATAGTCCTGCAGACACACACAGATCAGCTCATAGTCCTGCAGACACACACAGATCAGCTCATAGTCCTGCAGACACACACAGATCAGCTCATAGTCCTGTAGACACACACAGATCAGCTCATAGTCCTGCAGACACACACAGATCAGCTCATAGTCCTGCAGACACACACAGATCAGCTCATAGTCCTGCAGACACACACAGATCAGCTCATAGTCCTGCAGACACACACAGATCCAACCCGGTATCACGGCAAGACGTGAACATGTGACGATCTACCATGCTGGGAGACGTGAATATATCACGGTTTCGTCCCTTCAAACGTGACAGTTACACGGTATTGTTATCATGGCCCAACCAGTGGAGAAATACCCGGAAGTGCCTAGCAAATGGTCTACCGCGCCTATTGGTCGGTTTTTATTGTCAAAATTAGATGTTTTTAATTTATTTTTTAATCGTCACACTCGATTTTGCCGATTTTCTTGTTGCCCTAGCTGGTCGACACCTCTTTTAGCAGAAACAAAGGCTACATTAATGTATTAAATCGATGTTAATCTATGTGTGTGGAGGTGAGGATGTGGAATTAACGGACGTGACGTTGTGCGATTGCGTTGCCAGGCAACCCAATTTACAAACTCTTCAACTACAACCCTAATTATATTTTAAAACATTTTAGACAGCCTCACGAAATACTTTAATGTAAATTCAAATGTAAATGTGAAGGGATGTGTGTAATGTGGTGATTGACATTATTCACCCACGGATCTATGGGTTGGGGGTATTATTCCGCACGGACATTTTAGTTAACCGGACTCCTGTTGATGTGAAATCCGAAAACATTTAAAAAAAATTAAATAATACTTTATTCCGAGTTTGCTTGCTTTTCTCTTTGGAGGTCATCACATAACGGCATTGTAACACACGGTTTGGCTGCATTAAATATTACATATCTGCCGTAGTTCTGTATTTATAGAGCCCTGATGAGAAGACTTCTGGACAAACAGGAAGCACTGCCGCCAAAACTGAAAACGTGACGTGGATCATAAATATATCAGCAATTAAACAACATCTTACATTTCTTTTCACACAATACGTCTCCTTGCAGTATCAATACTAATTCGGCTGACTTTTATATTTGATCCAATTGGTAGATAGGCTGTATTTACACCATAACGGTGCACAGCTGATAGAAAGGCACATCTAGTGGTTAAAGCACGTTATTGAATTTGATTATTTGATTATTTTTCACAAAAATGAAACCATCAATAGCAAAAACAGAATTAACTGTCATTAGTAAACCACCCAAAAAAAAAGATCATAAATGGTTTTGTTTTATAATATATATTTTAAGGATAATAATATCAATGTAACACTGTCTATGACACTGTATAACACTGATTTGAAAAACATACAGAAAAAACTAATTCACTGCCCTTAATAAAGTATTTAATACATTTCAGGTGTGCTGTTTTGTTTAGATCATTGACATCTGGAGCTCTTTTAATGTCCTTTTTGATTATTGTTACACCAGGTCTTGTCAAAACCTTTATTCCATATTCAATATCCATTACTAAACAAAACAGCAATTCTACTCCACTACAATTCAGAGGTTAACCTGGTATTTTTACTCCACTACATTTATTTTAGTTACTTTGCAGATTCTGATTAATGATGTGAAATATAAACAACCCTTAAATCAGGCTTTAGTTACACCTGAGTAAAATTCAGGGAAAGGTGATTGTCAAGTGCCAACAATCAGGAGAGATATTTGATAGTTGCTGCTTGAGAAGACTAAACATTTATCTGCAGATCCCTATAAAGTATATTCATTACTCGTTATTCTCTACTAATAGTTAATTAAAGACTATATATATATAACGGCTATTTTGCATATCCCTTTCAAGATTTCAAGATTTTCTAAGGATCATTGACATATCATACACAACTAATTCAATAACGTGCTTTAACCACTAGGCGGTGCACACAGCCATAATAACTTTGTATTATTAGTGTAGGACACTTGTGTATGTATAATATCTGAAGATGTGTAGTTTTATTCATGTTTTCACATAATTGTACAGGATATTGCTATATTATTTCACATGTTTTACTTCTAATATCTGATTTGTAAAACATCACAGACAGAAAGGTATATCTGTCATTTAACAGTAAGCTATTGAAATTCTGAATCCATAGATGTGTCTCCCATCACCCAAATCCCCTGACTATTCTCTCAACTCAGTATTTACATTCTTATATTCAAAGAAAATTAGTAATATCTTTAAAAACGACAAGTCCTTTTATATCAGCTGTGCACCGTTATGGTGTATAACGTATTTTTTTTCGGATTTCACATCAACAGTAAGTCCGTTTAACTAAAATGTCCGTGCGGAACAATACCCTCAACCCATAGATCCGTGGGTGAATAATGTCAATCACCACATTACACACATTCCTTCACATTTACATTTTAATTTACATTAAAGTATTTCGTGAGGCCTTCTAAAATGTTTTAAAATATAATTAGGGTTGTAGTTGAAGAGTTTGTAAATTGGGTTGCCTGTCAACGCAATCTCACAACGTCACGTCCGTTAATTCCACATCCTCACCTCCACACACATGGATTAACATCGATTTAATACATTAATGTAGCCTTTGATTCTGCTAAAAGAGGTGTCGACCAGCTAGGGCAACAAGAAAATCGGCGAAATCGAGTGTGATGATTAAAAAATAAATTAAAACATCTAATTTTGACAATAAAAACCGACCAATAGGCGCGGTAGACCATTTGCTTGGCACTTCCGGGTATTTCTCCACTGTTTGGGCCATGTTAACAATACCGTGTAACTGTCACGTTTGAAGGGACGAAACCGTGATATATTCACGTCTCCCAGCATGGTAGATCGTCACATGTTCACGTCTTGCCGTGATACCGGGTTGCACAGATCAGCTCATAGTCCTGCAGACACACACAGATCAGCTCATAGTCCTGCAGACACACACAGATCAGCTCATAGTCCTGCAGACACACATAGATCAGCTCATAGTCCTGCAGACACACACAGATCAGCTCATAGTCCTGCAGACACACATAGATCAGCTCATAGTCCTGCAGACACACACAGATCAGCTCATAGTCCTGCAGACACACATATGGCGCGTTTCCACTACAGCGCGGAGCACGGTTTAAGAGGGCGGTGACGTCAGCGGCCCGTCTTTGGTTGCGTTTCCACTTGGCCTAGTACCGGCCGGGCGGGTCCTAATTCACAGTTTTTTCTGGCCTCATAAAATCGTGGTTCTAGGGCCAGAGACAACGAGGCTGAGTCGGGCTGAGTATGCTAAACTAGAGAGAGAATCGCTGGCAAGGGGGCTACAACTACAACAAGATGGACATATTTGACCGTGATTTAATTGTAATACACGTTTCAAAATGATGCCGAAGTAACAACATACTGATACCGGTTAGTAAAAACCATGAATTAATGCTTTGACAAGTCTGCAGACAGACGGCAGGTGAAACACCTTTTAAAATGCGTGTTTTCTGAATGGAGATTGGCTAAGCTAACGCAGTATATGCTCCGACCGTCCACACTCACAACGGCCTATACAGACATAAATAAAGCAGCGACTGTATTCTCCATGACACAGGCAGTCTGTGGTTTGTACTTGTTTAACTTTTGTCTAGTTTCTGAACATATATGAGGAGCTGTGAGCTCTGAGTGCTAACAGCTAACGGCTGTGTTGTTTTTCTGGGGTTCTCATTGAAGATGACGTCACGGCTCCGCCTACACTGCGTTACTATAGATACTACCCCAGTTCCTAAAGTGTAATGGAAATGCGCCATAAAGTGAGCCAGTCCTAACGAGGCCTAGCCATACCGAGCGAGGCCGTGTAGTGGAAACGCGCCAATAGATCAGCTCATAGTCCTGCAGACACACATAGATCAGCTCATAGTCCTGCAGACACACATAGATCAGCTCATAGTCCTGCAGCGGCTCTCCCAGTATACAATATCTTAGTAGGAGGAGTTTGAAGATGATTGCTAAATCAAGGTCAGAATTATTGGGGAAATATTTGGAAAAGTGATTTGAGGCAGATTTGAGGATTGTTCCTGAGTCTCACCATTATCATCTGTTCATAGGAGATGTGCATGATGTGGTCTTTATCTTCAGCATTCAGCCAGCTCTTTACATGATCAAACCACGAGCCAAACAGAACTGGAAGGAACAGGAGACACAAGTATTCCTTTCATAAGAGGTTATCATAACTTAGTATTTTTGTTTACTGAACTTCATGGTCTTTCAAGATCTCCCTTGTTAAAGGCTACACATAATGCAAAATGCACTTGCTAATGGCTTTGCAAGATAAACATTTATCCATGGTGTGCTAGCGACCCACAATGTGTAAGAATGGACCGTCTTCTCTATTTTACTCTTGCTGTTATTTTGGGTTGCTTTAAAAAGACAGGTGCTTAAAATGAGCATTTTCAGAGAATTTATAAGAACAAGAATGTGTTTTTTGAACATTAAAGTTTGTAATCATGGGCTAGTAAAATCCCAAAACACAATTAAGAATGCATGATAAGTCCCCTTTAAATCATGTTACCAGGTAAAAGGTTTTTTAAGAGTTTTCGTCCCACTTACTGATATGCATCTTGTTATGAACACATTCTAAACATTACAGCTGTAACAATCAGAAAAACCTTTTCCATCAAGGAACTTGTGGAGGAACTGGGTCTGTGGGCCTGGGTTTGCCAGGAAGGAAGCCGCCTCATGAAGATGAAAAGACGATGTGAACACATCTTTGGGGTTCCTCGTCACATAGATGACCTGCAGTGATGACATGACGTCAGACCCTTTCCTTCACACATACTGTCTGTGATGCGTTTATCACGTTGAATCTGATCTGCCTTAGTTGATAGGTTTACCTTTGGCTTTACTTCAAAGAAAGATGGTGGCATCATGTTGTACTGGAAGTGTGTAGTGAACAGTCGTGGAGACGGCCTCTGTTCAAGTTTGAGGGAGGCGGTCTGCTGCGCTTCAAGCCAGGGAACACGATTCCAGCTAACAATCGTGTCAACAGGTGCTGGATCTCCTCCACTCATGATCAGAGGGACAATCTCCTTCATCCAGTGTGTACCTAAACAAAAAGAAAAAAAAGATGTTCTTAAATATGTATTTATTAGCCCTTGCAAAACTTGGGGTGAGATGAAATGATACCCATTTTCACCTCACCCCTTACTCGTTTGCTTGTATTTAAATGCAGCCTTCAGAATAAGATAACCACTAATTAATTACTCATGAATTGTTAATACCATGAAAACATTCCCAAAGTTACAGGCAATAGCCAACAAGGAGGGTGGGGGTTTTTCTTATCTTGTGTGCTTGCCAAATGTAATACTTCATACACATGCCCAAACACACCATCCAAAAGATGGTTAAACTATTATTGAAAAGTGATAAAAATCTCTGGCCAAATGTCAATCTCCACTCTGTCTCAAGTTAACTTCTTATTTCATATGATTTTACAAGAAATGTTACTATGTCATTTGGATATTATGTTGAATCACCAGTAAAAACATTGCTTTGTAGCTTTCTGTTAATTGTTTGTGCAGATTCAATACATGAGGGGACACATTTAAAACATGAAGTAAGTAATGAATTGTTTTATACCATTTCAAATCAGAATCAGAGGAACTAACTTGCTGATACTTGGATCATTGGCATACAGTAGTAGGGTCATTGTCCTCAACCGGACCTCAGAGCATGGACAGAGAGATCATGGTACCGCTGACCGTAGGACCCCGGATGTCTTTGAACACTGCCTAAGGACAACCCAACGGACCCATCTGAAAAATGAGCTAGCTATAGCTAAAGCTCATCTTTTACAGTAACAGAAAACCCAGTACATATATCTACACTGCAATTATCGACAGTGGCGGTTCTAAACCAATTTGACTGGGGGGGGCCAGGCTGGGGCCAGTTATTTTCTGATGGGGGCACAATAAATGCAGGACGAAAAAGACAAAGATAGTATGAAGTAATTGTGCATAACAATGCAATACAGTTATTGGTATTTGTTTCAGTAGACATATTTATTTCCAATACTTATAGTTACAGTTTTTACGCTCTAATGGGTCCGACTAGAATGACAAATAGCGTTAGTTCCGCCTATTTTGTCAGCCAAGAAATCATAAATCTTTTTTTTTTTTTTTTTAGGAGGGCCACAGGGCGGTCCAAAGTCTCCTGGCCCCCCCCCCCCCTAGAACCGCCCCTGGTGGGCGATGAAGTATATTTTGAAAGACATGGGGTCTAGTGTTTAACAAAAGTGTTAAAAAAAACAAACAATGACGGCAGGCAGGGTTTTATAGGCATTATATTTAAACTATACTTTTGGACACTACGTCACAGGAATGATGGAAAATAGCTATGTTTTAGCAGTGATAAACAACATTTCGAATTGTTTGATTTTTATAGAACCTTTTCCCTAACTGCCTGTGAAACTCTCTGTTGTTGAACTGCTGCACCAGGACTAATATCGTGCGAATGGCAAAACACATCAGTGCTTGTGAATTATTTTGACTTGCTCTTGTCTCATCTGGCACATCACAGAAATACAAAGCCACAGGAAATGTCTTCTATTTAATTTTACATTTATTTTACAAATCAAATAATAAAAACGTATCTTGAGTGGTGCACACATTCAACACCTAACACTTACAACTCACCTGACCTGGGATACGTCACGACGATGATATCATCTGGGCGAAAAACAAACTCTTCAAAGTATTCCAGACTCTCTGGCGTGTGCACAGATGAGACCACGTAGACCCCCTTGTACACCGTGTATAACTCTTCCTCCGTCATAGTTTAAGCAAAAGCTGCAGAATCTCTGTGGATTAGGGAATTTATATAGTGGATGATGTGTGCTTATGCGTGTGTGCTCGTTCCCTGTTTAAAAGAAAAGGTGTTAGGGTTGGGCAAAGGTAGGACCCAAATGCAGACTACAAAAAGGGTAACAGGTCTATAAACAAAAACGAGCTTTATTTACAAAGCTGATGACAAAAAACATGGCATGAAAAAACATAGATAGCGAATACAAACAAAACTGACCGTGACTGACATGGAGGGAGACAGGAAAAACCAACAATTAACCGACAAGGCACACAGGGGAAGACAAGACTAAATACAGAGAGGGGTAATCACAAGACAAGACACAGCTGGGGTAAGGGAGGCAGAAACACAAGGGCAACAGGTGAACACAATCAGACAATCAGACACACCAGGGAAACTAACGACAGGAAGGCAAACACAGGAAGAAGGAACAGAGAAGACACAAGGAGGAAAACATTTCAAAACAAAAGGTGGAAAATGAAAAGATAAATACAAAACCGTAACAGAACCCCCCCCTCAAGGGACGGATTCCAGACGTCCCAAGAAAACCTCAAAAAGTCCAAAACCTCTAGAAGGGTGGGTGGAGGGGGCCCAGAGGAGGGACGCACAACCAGGACCAAAAGGGTGGGTGGAGGGGGTCCGGAGGCCGGGCAGGAAGGCGCCGACGGGACAACTCCGGAGGCCGGGCAGGACCCAGCATCGGCCGGACAGGAACCGGAGCCGACGGGACAGGCGCAGACGGGACCCCGAACATGACATGGGCCGGTGCCAACGGGACCCCGGATGGAGCAAGGGCTGGTGTCGACTGGACCCCCAACGGAACAGGACACGGAGTTGGCAGGACCCCCGGCAGAAGAGTAGTCGGCGGGACCCCCAATGGGACAGGACACGGAGTTGGCGAGACCCCCGGCAGGAGAGTAGTCGGCGGGACCTCCAACAGCACAGGACACAGGGTTGGCAGGACCCCCGGCAGAAGAGTAGTCGGCGGGACCCCCAACGGGACAGGACATAGGATTGGCAAGACCCCCGGCAGAAGAGTAGTCCGCGGGACCCCCAATGGGACAGGACATGGAGTTGGCAAGACCCCCGGCAGGAGAGTAGTCGGCGGGACCTCCAACAGCACAGGACCTAGGGTTGGCAGGACCCCCGGCAGAAGAGTAGTCGGCGGGACCCCCAACGGGACAGGACATAGGATTGGCAAGACCCCCGGCAGAAGAGTAGTCGGCGGGACCTCCAACGGCATAGGACATAGGGTTGGCAGGACCCCCGGCAGAAGAGTAGTCGGCGGGACCCCCAATGGGATAGGACATGGAGTTGGCAGGACCCCCGGCAGAAGAGTAGTCGGCGGCACCCCCAACGGGACAGGACATAGGATTGGCAAGACCCCCGGCAGAAGAGTAGTCGGCGGAACCTCCAACGGCACAGGACATAGGGTTGGCAGGACCCCCGGCAGAAGAGTAGTCGGCGGGACCTCCAACGGTACAGGACATGGGGTAGGCGTCGGCCGGAGAGCCAACAGGAGACGAGGTGCTGGAGTCGGCCGGACCACCGACAGGACACGAGGGGCTGGAGTGGGCCGAACCACTGACAAAACACGGGGGGCTGGCGTCACCATGGCTGCTGGGGCTGGAACAATGGCTGCTGGGGCCAGATCTGGAGCTGGAACAATGGCTGCTGTGGCCAGTACTGGGGCTGGAACCATGGCTGCTGGGGCCAGAACTGGAGCTGGAACAATGGCTGCTGTGGCCAGAACTGGGGCTGGAACCATGGCTGCTGGGGCCAGAACTGGAGCTGGAACCATGGCTGCTGGAACCAGAACTGGAGCTGGAACCACTGGAGCACGGGCTGGAATCTTGGTCTTGCGTCTCCTAGAGATTCTTTGGAGGATCTGTGGGCCTCCCAAGGCCTGGTCATACCCCAGGAAAGGGTTAGAGGCTTCAGACAAGTCCTCAGGACTACTTGTGAAAAGTTGTAGCCACTCGGGCAACATGCTCCTAAGCCAGGGCTGGCGAGCAACCTCCTGACGTGCCTCCTTCAACGCAGCCTCTCTACCACGTCTAGAAGAGGCGCCATTCCAAGTATAAAAAATGTACTCCAGAGAGTACCCAAGACATTCTGCCTGTAGAGCAAAACGATCCGAGTCTGCTGAGTCCAAAGCTGGTCGGTTCATTCTGTTAGGGTTGGGCAAAGGTAGGACCCAAATGCAGACTACAAAAAGGGTAACAGGTCTATAAACAAAAACGAGCTTTATTTACAAAGCTGATGACAAAAAACATGGCATGAAAAAACATAGATAGCGAATACAAACAAAACTGACCGTGACTGACATGGAGGGAGACAGGAAAAACCAACAATGAACCGACAAGGCACACAGGGGAAGACAAGACTAAATACAGAGAGGGGTAATCACAAGACAAGACACAGCTGGGGTAAGGGAGGCAGAAACACAAGGGCAACAGGTGAACACAATCAGACAATCAGACACACCAGGGAAACTAACGACAGGAAGGCAAACACAGGAAGAAGGAACAGAGAAGATACAAGGAGGAAAACATTTCAAAACAAAAGGTGGAAAATGAAAAGATAAATACAAAACCGTAACAAAAGGCATTGAGTAAATATTTAGCCTACACTGTCAAACATCCCCCGGACTCACACCTTTGCCATAGTTTCTAATCCAAATGAAAAATGTTTTATCTTTAACCTCTTAAGGAGGAGGACATTATTCAACTTCTGAAATCCTCCTCCTGCTGCCTTGATATTATTCCAACAGGATTTTTCAAAGATGTTTTTCCTTGCATGGCCTCAGATCTACTTCATATAGTAAACACATCTCTTCACTCAGGTATTTTTCCAGAGGCCCTGAAAACTGCAGTCATTAAACCGCTCTTAAAAAAGAATAATCTAGATGCCTCAGTAATGAACAATTACAGGCCAATATCAAACCTGCCATTTCTAGGTAAAATCATTGAAAAAGTAGTATTTCAACAGTTGAGTAACTTCTTGCATTTAAATAACTGTTTGGATGTGTTCCAGTCAGGATTTCGTCCAAACCACAGCACTGAGACTGCTCTTGTAAAGGTCTTCAATGACATCCACTTAAACACAGACAGTGGCAGAACTTCAGTGTTAGTATTATTAGATCTCAGTGCTGCATTTGACACTGTTGACCACAACATATTACTAGACCGACTAGAAAACTGGGTGGGACTTTCGGCAACAGTTCTAAATTGGTTTGAGTCCTACTTAAAGGACAGAAAAAACTTTATTTCTATAGGTAAATACACATCTGAGTTGACAAATATGACATGTGGGGTACCTCAAGGCTCCATCTTGGGGCCTCTTCTCTTTAACATCTACATGCTACCACTGGCTCAGATAATGAAAAACAACAAAATAAGTTACCATAGCTATGCGGATGACACACAAATTTACGTAACAATTTCACCAGGAGATTATGCTCCAATTCAAACAGTGAGTAAGTGCATTGAACAAATCAATGACTGGATGTGTCAGAACTTTCTCCAATTAAACAAAAATAAAACTGAGGTAATGGTTTTTGGAGCCAAGGCAGAACGTATAAAAGTTAGCGCTGAGCTTCAGTCTGCAATGTTCAAAACAACAGATAAAGCCAGAAATCTAGGTGTAGTCATGGACTCTGACCTGAGTTTCAACAGTCACATTAAAACAGTTACTAAATCAGCCTACTATCACCTAAAGAACATATCTAGGATTAAAGGACTAATGTCACAGCAGGATTTGGAAAAACTTGTCCATGCTTTTATCTTCAGTAGACTCGACTACTGCAATGGTGTCTTTACAGGCCTCACTAAAAAATCTATTAGAAAGCTGCAGCTAATTCAGAACGCCGCTGCTCGAGTCCTCACTAACACTAAGAAAGTGGATCACATCACTCCTGTTCTGAAGTCTTTACACTGGCTTCCTGTGTGTCAAAGAATAGATTTCAAAATATTGTTGCTGGTTTATAAAGCTTTGAATGGTTTAGGCCCAAAATACATGTCTGACCTACTGCTAAATTATGAACCATCCAGAACCCTCAGGTCTTCAGGGACTGGTCAGCTTTCTGTCCCCAGAGTCAGAACTAAACATGGTAAAGCAGCATTCAGTTATTATGCTCCGAATATCTGGAACAAACTCCCAGAAACCTGCAGGTCCGCTGCAACTCTTACTACTTTTAAATCCAGGCTGAAGACTTTTCTTTTTGCCGCTGCTTTTAATTGAACTATTCACATCTTAAACTGCACTGTAACTTTTAACTTTTATCCATGTATTTTTTCTTTTAATGTTTATTTTATTATCTTTCCTTTTCAATGACTGATTTTAAATGCCATTTTTAAAATGTCTTCCATTTTTGTAAAGCACTTTGAATTACCTTGTGTTGAAAGGTGCTATATAAATAAACTTGCCTTGCCTTGCCTTGCCTTAAGCACGGCGGTCCCCCCATTGGACCCCTCCCACCGTTTTTTTTTCCGAGATAATGTCTCAGGGCTTCTTAACATTTATGAAACTATTAATGTGTAGCACCAGATTAACGGGAAGAATCTCAGCTAACTGAAGATATGAACCATTTTTACCAAAACAAAACACAAGTCAAGGGTCTAAATGACCCCTGAGCGAAAAAATTCTAACGCACTGCGGCACACAATTCAAGATAAAAATACCCTTATTACTTATCGTAGCTGCACATACAATATAGCCTATTAAAGCTGAGACTCCACTGATTATTTAGGTATAGTATCATCACTGAGCGATCCGAACTTGCGACAGGGGAAGCAAACACAGACATCACAACACGTACCTTTACGGAGCTTTTACGGCAGATCGTCTCACCGTAGCTGTCAATTAGGTCAAAAGACGTGTTCAATGGCATTAAAACGAAAAAAAAAATCTACAACTGTTGATCCATAGGTTGATAATGTACCTGTGCCTTTAAAACAATTATTTATAATCCATAATTCCATTTTTTATGTAAAAATCGGAGCGGAAAAGTTAGCTGCTAATGGTAGCCACCAGAGTGTATGCAGCTTCCGGTTTTGGTAACGCGTCACTCTCACTCCTTATTTGTTAACGTTTTGGTGTGTATATAACTTTCCCTCGATTCCATTGGCTCTAGCGGTTATAAAGAGATTTCATTCATCAAAATCGAGCAAGTGGGGCCAGAGATAGGTCAAATCCACCCAAATGACCCCAGAAGTGGGTTTTTTGGCTAAATCTCTCTAAAAAGGTCAAATTTATCTTGTTTTGCATCAATCTTGATACAGGGTACTTATTATATGTTGTACTTTGGATTCCTAAAGCTTTTAGTCTACTAACCCATCATCCAAGGGTAGTTTTCACTATAAGTAAAAAATAATGTTTGGACGGAATTTTCTTTAAAATAAAAAACATCTATATTGATTCTGACTTTTCTACATCCAACTCACAGGTTTATCATTACTTTGAGAATAAAGATTATTAATTTAACCCTTTTAGAAGGGAAGATATGGTCATTTGTTCTGGGAATGTCATTTTCGAGCCTGAGACCTGAAAAACAGGCTCAGGGCTAAACAGGTTAACCATGGCACACTGACATTGCCTCATTTCCCGTTTGTGTGCAAGGATGTTAGAGATTATAAAACAATAATCACAAGCTGTTGTTCCTTCTCTACAAGATGGCTGTTAGATATCCAGCTACATTATACTGATGTTAAAACACACATTTTGAGAAGCAACACCTCATTCTGACTAAATTCATCCAAATTGACCCCGAAATCTCAAAGTTAAATTTCCTAAAGCTGAGTATCTGAGTATCTGATGGTACAATTCTCCTGCATGAGCTCTCTCACTTTAGTAACAGGCTGAAATAGAGGGTTTGAGGCTAGAATGATCTGTTTGGTATTTTGAGCAAAACACTTCAAAGACATGTTTTTATATATCTGAGACCTGTAATATATGCTTAAAAACAGCATGATAGGAGACTTTTAATTGTTGTTTATCACACACACATCACACATATAAACAGCTGTTTCCTTCCTTACCTGTAAGCACGTATTACTCTGTCTTTACCTCTGTGTGTCTGTTGGTATTTTTCCCTGAGTCTTCTACATATCATATTCTATTTACTATTCTATTTTATTATATATGTTGCATTGTTGGAGGAGCTCAGGTCAGAAGAATTTCATTGCCTTTTCTACACTGTAGCTGCTGAGCATCTGATGATAAAACCTTTAAATCTTTGCATCTTGAATCCAGTGTGTGTGTGTTCACATATTCTGGTCCTTATTTCTGATTCTCCCGTGTTTCCTGCAGACTGTGTCAGCGTTCGCTCCGATCTGTAACACGGCTCAGAGTCCCTGGGGTCAGAAGGCTTTCTCTGGATACCTGGGGTCGGACAGAGACACCTGGCAGGTGAGAGGGAACACACCTGAGTATCATCAGATCTCATCATCACACTAAAAACATTTTTTGTTGTTGTTGTGGTTGTATAAAAGTACAAGAACGTACAAAATATATGAAAACAAAGATGGATTAAAGCAGAATTTTTGGTTAGACGGAAATATTTTATGTGAAGTTTGGAAATAATTATACTGATCTTATTTGGTGACTACATTACCCACAATGCATTAGCTCCGCCACAGATTCAAGTGTGTTATGCTAGTATCTGTTAATGTATCCTGCAGCAGAGCCTGTGAAGTCACGCATTTCTGCAGATATTCAACTTGTTTAAACTCGTACTTTAGATGATATGTAGAAGTACTTCAGGTGTTTAGCTTGTTTAAAGAACGTGCAAATTAGATGAAAACAAAGATGGATTAAAGCAGAATCTTTGGTTAGATACACATATTTTATGTTAATTTTAGAAATAATTATCATCATCTTATTTAGTAATCTATTTTAAAGAGCATTTAAAAGCAAGGTTTATAGAAAAAGCACCTATTTTTCAGTTTCTTTAATATTTATTCTAGTTATTTCTGTATTTATTGGAGCCTCCAGAGCTGTGTGTGTGTGTGTGTGTGTGTGTGTGTGTGTGTGTGTGTGTGTGTGTGTGTGTGTGTGTGTGTGTGTGTGTGTGTGCGTGTGCGTGTGTGTTCCAGGGGTACGATGCCACGGTATTGGCTGCTTCGTACTCCGGCCCCCCATTGGACGTCCTGATCGATCAGGGGCGGGACGATCAGTTCCTGTCGGCCAATCAGCTGCTGCCGGACAACCTGATCGCCGTCTGCTCCGAGAAGAAGATCCCCGTCGTCTTCAGACTGCAGCCGGTACGTCTAACGCCTCTTTAAAGTGTCTCAGAAACACGTGTCTTTATAACCGTCATCCTCCGTATCACTCTCTGCTCTCACTATCTGTG